TATTTTTCATATATTTATATTATATATATTATGTATTATATGTATTATTTGTATATACTTATGTGTGTATATGTGTATTTGTTTAATCACTGAAAATAGTTATGACAGAGATCACATGGTCCATAAAGCATAAAATATTTTACATCTGGCCTTTTACAGAAAAAATTTGCAAACTCTTGTTATAGAAACATGAAAAGAAGTAATTTGCTCAATAATTAGCAAAAATGTATTCTCAGCATTGGTGGACATTAAGATTCCCAGATAACAGGGGGGAATAAAGATGAGAGCTAAGTAATATGCTGTGTACATATTGCATATCTTTCAAAAAACCTGTTTGTTTTTATTACATTTTTTATGATCATGGTTTTGATCATACCCATTACCAAATTATTTAACTTACAAGTTACTTTACCTCTCTAAACTTCAGTTCATCCATTAACAACATAAGGAAGATGATGATAGTGTCATAATCAGATAGTTATGAGAAAAATATGGATAACCATAAAACACATAGTGTAATTGCATTATATAGTCAGTTAATATTACCAATGTATGCTCATAGCTTTATTTTTATTATTACTGCTTTTATTGGTGCTATGTAACAAATGTAGCTCATTGTAGGATGTCTGGAAAACTGAAAATTAAAAATTCCTATTGTTTATCCTGCCAGTTGAATGTGATTATTGCAAAATTTTCCATATTCCTAGGCACATATTTATGAAGTTAGAATCTTGCATGTATGCGTATGTATTCTTGTGTTGTTTTTACCTAATTCTATATGATGTGTATTATTCAATAGTGGTGAATATTTTTTTAAACATAACTTATATGATTACATAATGTTTTCTTAAATTCTGGGTCAACTTACCTAATCGTAGACGAGTAGTTGTTTCCAATTTTGACACAATAATTACACAGCCCTGAACAGGTTTATATGTGAAATTATTGTGTTTCTTGTGTGTGTGTGTGTGTGTGTGTGTGTGTGTGTGTTTAAAACATCTGACATGAAATCTACCCTCTTAACAAAATTTTGAGTACACAATACACTACTGTTAATTACAGGCACAGTGTTATATAACAGATCTCTAGAAGTTGTTTATCTTGTCTAACTGAAACTTTACACTCTTTTAAAGCAACTCCTGGCTTAATCCTTTCCTCACCACCTAATAACCACTATTCTATAGCCTGTTTTTATAAACTTGAGTATTTTAGATGCTTCATATAAGTGGAATCATGCACTATCCTTCTGTGTCTGGCTTATTTTATTTAGCATAATGTCCTCCACGTTCATACCTGTTGATGCATATGGCAGGATTCCTTCTTTTTAAAGGTTGAATAATATTCCATTTTTTTAATATATCACATTTTCTTTATCCACTCATTTGTCAATGAACATTTGTGTTGTTTCCATATCTTACCTATTATGTATAATTCTTCAATGAACATGGAAGTGCATATATCTCTTTGAGATTCTGATTTCAGTTCCTTTGGATATGTATATCCCATAACAGGATTGTTTTATTATATGCTAATTCTATTTTAAATTTTTTGAGTATCCTCCATAGTGGCTGCAGCATTTTACATTCCCACCAAACGGGTACAAGCTTTCTATTTGGGGCATGTTTTTGTTGCATGTATTATGTTTACAATTTTTGAGTACAGGTATAGGTAATTGTCATAATATTAACTGGAAATAATTCAATCTTATTTTTGGTTCTGAAATAGTTTATCTAAAGATAAATTATAAGATTTATCTGTTTCTTGAAAAATAAATTACTTCATCCACTAGGCTATCCTGATTTATAGCCTTTTGAGTTGTAATCTTTTGAAAAAATTCCTTTAAATCCCTCATATTTTTCTCTCTTTTATTCAAGATAGAATCTTGATATGACTAGAAAATTATTAATCTCATTTTAAAAGTCACATATGATAGTATTTTCTTATCATATTTTGTTAATATGACAGTATTTTCTTATCATTTTTAAAATTTCATATTGTATCTGAGGAATAAGAAGTGTATTTTCCACCTCTTATTCCTAAATTGCTTATTTATTTTTATTTTTTTAAAGTTTTCAATAATTTATCTTCATTTGATTTTTCAAAGGACCAACTCTTAGAGGTATTTGTCAGTTTTACAATTTTTAAATTAATTTCTGCTTTTAATTCTATTTTTCTCCTTTCTGCATCAATTTGATTTTAAACCAAATTTGAATTTTTTTATGTGGTAATAAAATTATTAATTTTCTTTTCCAAAATTGTAAACCTGAATCTATTGTCTTATGTCATGTATGTTGTCAGCAGAAATCTGCTGTTATTCTGAGTTTTTTTTTTTCTTTTTCTATGTAGCCTAAAAGATGCTTCAGTTGTAGATTGTGTGGTTTTTCTTTTTTTACTTTTTTTCTGGATACTTATAGAAAGCTTTATCTACCCTTAAACTAAAAGAAAAATGACACAAAGATTACAGTATATTGATGTGAGTATATTTCCATGTATTTTGTTGTGTACTAATGAATGCTTTCAGTTCAAAAACTGTTAGCTCAATTACTTTAAATTTTTTTCTAGAACTTTCTTTTTTATTTCTATATTTTGATCTATTATTCCATATTACTAGAAATGTATCTATTTTAATTTCTTGAGATTTTCAAATTTCTCTTGTCATTTTTATCACTTCATAGTTTTTTCCAAGAATGCAGGTGTAATTTTTCAAATGTTCTCTTATTTTCTTCAGTTTAGCACTGTTTTTCACAGCCTTTAAATTTTATTGACTTTTTAAAATTTTCCAGATGTGTTTTTCTTACCATATATTGAACATGTTCATGACTGCTTATTCAATATTTATTTTATTTTTTTGACAGAACAGGTTACATGTTTCTTTTATTACTTTTTTCTTTTTTTTTCAGGACATCTTTATTTGATAAACTGAATATGTCTCATTAGATTAAATTTTGTTCATATATTCCCTGACTTTACACTGTTTACTTGTTGTGAAATAAAAGGGGCTAGATTGTCTTATAATAAAGCAGTAGTTTCTAACTGCTTTACTATGGCATACTATGGTATGGTATACTATGTTTACCATATCATTGATCCTGTTGTTTTATTCGAAATTGAGGGGTTTTGTGTTTGTATGAGCTTAAGCAATTAAAGATAAATACAGTTGCCAAAATCTCCTAGCAACCTTTTGTTCAAAAGTGTTGATTTTTAAAATTTACTTTTATTATTTTTAAGAAATATTGGTTTTTTTCCTGCAGAGATACTGTAATGTTTTAAATATAATTCTCAAATGCCAAATTGTTCAACAGGGCACAAATGGTTGTCAATCCTTCTTTGATCTTGCTTGTTGCTTCATGAGTTCTAGTTGATTTTTCTTAGCTTAGTAACGTCATCTTTTTTCTTACCATGTATTATTCTAAAGTCACTTATTAGGCTTACTCTTTCAGGAACATTATATGTGTTAGTATGGTTCCATTTCCAATTTTATTTTTACCAATTTCCCCATTTTATGCATCTTGTGAGAGGGCACCTCAAGCTTGTCTGTGCAAATTTTCCATTTTAGGTCAAGTCAAGTCCATGTTTTACTGCTTTAGGTAAAAACATTATTTCTACTACTATTATAATGCATTTTCATTATGATATTTTTTATAGTTACATGTAGTACTCTGTCTATGCCTGTCTTTTAGCCAATTTCGTATTCATCTCTGTTGTCTAAAAAGCCTTTATAGCCTACATGAAGTGTTTCTGATCCTCATTCCCCTCTCCCTGGTACTGTATAGTTTTTGTATTATGAACTGCATTGTAATTTATTATAATTGATTATTTAAATATTTCCTCCATTAGCTTCTAAGCTTCAATGAGAAATAAATAATTATCTCAACAGTGTCTCTATAGAAATGGAATAAATACTGAAATTTTTATATCATTTACCATTCTGTCTCTTTATTTTTTTAAATGTTATTTTAAAGACTTTGGGTACCATTCTATCTCTTGTTTTATATAATCCAGGTTACCTGTTTATCCATAAATATTTTCATTTGAAACTTCATTCCTCATAGCTTTTACAGAATTTTTGTGGGAATCTGTTTTTTTTGTTTGTTTGTTTGTTTGTTTGTTTTATCCAATTTATCTATTCTAGAAAGAGAAGTAGTCAAAATTTCCTTGGACATACTTATTTTCTATGTAGCTGTAGTACAATACCTCTATCAAATCTTGATTTTGAGAGCCAGTAACTTAGGGGGGTACTGAGAATCAGTTGTCAATTATAGCCTTGTTGGACTGAAGAGGAAACTCCTCAGGTTGTTCCACAGTCTGATTAGGCAAGAAAGAATAAGCATTATGAGATTTGATGTAGTCTATAGTTCTTACACTGTAGGGTGCATTAAAACAACTACATCTTGTAGACATTGTTCCCACATATCCTCTCACCTCTCTTTTTCCTACTTTGAATCACCTCAAAAAAAATTATAATGCACTTTTTCCACTACATACTTTGACAATTGTTCTGGAAGTGAAGTCCCTACATGAAGATAGAAAAGTAAGTACTAGTTTTGGCAACAGATGAAGAAGATGGAAACAGTGAATCATTGATGGAGAGTGATGTATAGTAGGAATAAGTAAAAATTTTCTACCTTTTTTTTTTTTAATCAGACTCTACTCCATTGTCTCAGGATCTGTGTCACATAAACACATTACAAAAGCATTAAGTGTGGAACAGAAACTGAGTTACTGAGTTGGGTGAACAGTATCAGATTTGTTTTAGAAAATATGGTAACAAAGTGGGAAAAGGAACATAAAAAAGAATAAAAGTAGAGATATATGAGATATTGCCCATCTCAGACTTAGGCCCTAGCCATTCTTTACTGTGTCTTTATTTTTAGACAGTACAAGCCCCTTCCTCTTCCACCTGAGGTCCTTACCTTGTCTCTTTCCCTGAAATTAAGAAGGAATCTGAAAAGCAATCCCAAACCTGGCTCTTCCAATCAAGAATCTCTCTTCATGACCACAGCTGATTTAAGCCCATACTATGGCTACAGGAAACTGGACAAGAATAAATGAATTTATCCTCATAAGCTTCTCTTCTCTGCCTACTGAAATACAGTCATTGCTCTTCCTGAGTTTTCTAATCATCTACCTGGTCACCCTGATGGGAAACAGTCTTATCATTCTGGTTACTTTGGCTGACCCCATGCTGCACAGTCCCATGTACTTCTTCCTCAGAAACTTGTCCTTCCTGGAGATAGGCTTCAACCTAGTCATTGTGCCCAAAATGCTGGGGACCCTGCTTGCCCAGAACACAACCATCTCCTTCCTTGGCTGTGCAACTCAGATGTACTTTTTCTTCTTCTTTGGAGTGGCTGAATGCTTCCTCCTTGCCACCATGGCATATGACCGCTATGTGGCCATCTGCAATCCTTTGCACTACCCAGTCATTATGAACCAAAGGTCATGTGCTAAATTGGCTGCTGCCTCCTGGTTTCCAGGCTTTCCTGTAGCTACTGTGCAGACTGTGTGGCTCTTCAGCTTTCCATTCTGTGGTACCAATAAGGTGAATCACTTCTTCTGTGACAGCCCACCTGTGTTAAGGCTGGTGTGTGCAGAAACAGCACTGTTTGAGATCTACGCCATCATTGGAACCATTCTGGTTGTCATGATACCCTGCTTGCTGATCTTATGTTCCTATGCTCACATTACTGTTGCCATCCTCAAGATTCCATCAGCTAAAGGGAAGCATAAAGCTTTTTCTACATGCTCCTCCCACCTCATTGTGGTTTCCCTTTTCTACATATCTTCAAGTCTCACCTACTTCCGGCCTAAATCAAATAATTCTCCTGAAAGCAAGAAGTTGCTATCATTGTCCTACACTGTTGTGACTCCAATGTTGAACCCCATTATTTACAGCCTGAGAAATAATGAAGTGAAGAATGCCCTCAGCCGGACCTTTCACAAGATTTTATCCTTCAAAAAGCAGTGTCCCATAGACATTAAAAAGTAAGACTAAATTCTATTGAATGAGAAACAATCAGTTTCATGTTTGGGATACTTCTGTACTTCTATTCAAATTTCTATTGGAATGAAACCCAGCTACTGAAATGGCTACTGGACAACTTGGTTGAGAGAGGACAACCCAGAGGTAGTAAAACACTACCATCTGCCAAACTTTTCTGCCTACCTACTGTAGACTTACACTGTTTTTCTTATTGGTACACTTGGCATTTTGGCACTTCTGGGAAAAAAATTCAGGTATTTACTTTGCAAAAGTGCACAAACGTGTCCTATATTGTGGACAGTATGAAACTGCTTATAATTTGACCTTAGGGACATACAATGGGTAAAACAGCAAAAAGCATCAAAAAGTCATCTTGGTCCCACATCTTGCTTTGAATAAATTTGACTCCATTAAGTAGAAAAAAATCCTATAATACTTCTAGTACATAATTCTCATTCTTTCATTTCATTTCACATGCCCCTGAGACAATGTTGGTTCTTACATTTATTGAAATTTAGCATGGATAGAAGAAAGTGGATCACTAATCTCCATGCATATATTCCCAATAGCCTTATAGAACCATCCTCAGGTTATTATTCCCAGGCAGAATAAGGTGAATTTCTAATTCTCTCTTTCAATTTCATTTTCACGTTCTTAAACCTTGTCAAAGTAATTTGAAAGTTTCACAAACAATTACAATTGAAATGCTGCTTTCTTCAGTGCTTACAGTGGATCTTAGCTGACTCCAATATAGGTCCTTTAATAACTCTATTATATTTTTCTTAGTGCCTTTACATTTTAAAAAAGCATGTTGTTGCTGTGATGTGAAAATATAAAAGAACATAAAGCACAATCACTGTCATCATGTTATTAATTTAATAAACAATGAGGGATTCAGATGAGATAATTGCTAGGGGAAAATTCATATTAAAGTTAAGAAAAGTAAGTTTCAATGAGGTTTGGTGATACATAGTTGGAACTAAAATTCAGATTTCAGATGTTTTGTTGCATTTTTCTCCAGTACTGTGAGATGCATATCTAATTAATTAATTCAGATTCAGAGTAAAAGAATATTAGTATATGTGAAAAAGAAGAGAGGAACACAAATTTAATATGACTTTAAACCTCATTAATAAAAATATAACTACATTTGTAAAGATTAATCAAAAAATAACCTTACACCATTCCATAATGAATAAACCACATTTAGACTATCCTTTAAAAAACATACTTACACATTGAAAGACTAGAAAGTTTTATAGAAGAATATTCACACCATTTAGAGACCTTGAGACTATAAGAGTTCAAGAGAAGTGATGGGCAATATATTTTTTTAAGAAAAGAACGTATAGTATTGCTATCTTCAAGTGTTGAAAAAACTAACAGAGAATAGGATATAGCTCTCTCAATGTTGTCTTCAAAGATCAGCAGTAGAATTAATGAGCAGAAACTAATAGAGGGCTATTTTTAATAAATCATTACTTTTAAATGCTTTTCTATGGAAGAAAAAGATTTTTGTTAATTCTCTCATTCTTGTAGCAATTGGACTTTGCATATTGGGAATTTAAACATTTGTGATAGAAAAATATGAGAATTGGAATTCTTTTTACTTTAGGAATAGAAAAATTATCACATTCTACTTGGGAGTTGATATTTTTTTCACAATGCACAAGATTGTATAACTAACCTAAACTAGACCTGTGTTGAAATATAAAGTGACGCTGAGTCACTCTATCATCTCCTCGAAACAAACAGTGAAGTTCTAAGGTCAGATTGCATTGCTTCAGTGTCCTCTCTTTCTGCTAGTATAAATACATAGAATCTACACATAATATTCCCTCTCCCTCGCTTTCTTTTTTTTCCCTACAACTCCAACATTCACCAACTACTTATACTTTATTTAAATTAATACTACCATAATCTCTTTATTATACGTTTTAATTATTTTTGCTTTTAAATGCTGAAACCAGTTAAGAAAACCTCAAGATCATATAGCAGCAAATAGCAGAGGTAGAATTTAAAACATTTTAACATCAACTGCAATTTTCTCTCACTACAGGTTAGCTGTGTGTTAATGTAAAAAATGCAATAAATAACTTTCTAATTCAAACTTTTTTCTAAAATTAAATGAGTCATTTTATAACAAAAAACTAAAGAAACTTCCTGACTCTGCCAAAAAGGGTATTTTAATAAAGTTATTCTGGACAATGTTTTTGATATAATGGGATGATTTACTTTGTATAGTCAACAAACCATGCCTACTAAAATTTGGGTAAACATGAAAAGTAAAAAGAAAACAAAATAATCAAATTCTCATTACTTGGAGATAAATAATGACAATTTACTGTACTTAATTCTAGCAATCTGACAGGTGCAGCCACATGTGCATATTTTTCATACTTTTTATCACTTCACGTCATAACTAAGGTTGCCATATTGAACACAGCAAGTTATTTAAGGACAATAAAATATTTTTCTCATCTAAAAATGAAGGTAACCTTGGTAACTCCTCATATTGTTGTAACAATTAAGTTGAGTAAAAAATATAAAACTCTTAACCCTGATCATAAAAAATTACTTTCATGGGCAAAGGACATGAACAGACACTTCTCAAAAGATGACATACAAACAGCCAATAGACACATGAAAAACTGCTCAGCCTCACTAATCACCAGAGAAATGCAAATCAAAACTGCACTTAGATACCACCTAATTCTGGTAATGATGGCTATTGCTAATAAGTCAAAAAGCAATAGATGCTGGAGTGGGTGTAAAGGAAAGGGAATGCTTCTTCACTGTTGATGGGAGTAAGCTAGTTCAGCCTCTATGGAAAGAAGTATGGCGATTCCTAAAATAACTAAAAATTAACCTTCCATATGATCCAATAATTCCTCTCTTGGGAATATACCTGAAGAAACATGAATCTTTCTACAAAAAAGACTCGCACACGCATGTTTATTGTCACCCTGTTCACAAGAGCAAAATCATGGAAGTGCCTATCGAAAGTGGACTAGATTAAGAAAATGTGGTACATAACCACAATGGAGTATTACATAGCCATAAAGAAGAACAAAATCATGGGCTTCACAGCAAATTGGATGGAGTTGGAGACCATCTACTAAGTGATATATCATGGAAGCAAATAACTGAATACTGCATGTTCTCGCTCATAAGTGGAACCTGAACAATAATCACATTAGCACAAGGGAGGGATTGGCAGTCACTGGGCACTGCTAGGGGAGGGGGTGAAGAAGAAAGGTGGGGGGCAAGTGACAACACAAAGGTTACCTGATTCACTAACAAGGAGAGTGAGGGCCAGTTAGAAACCCAAACTATACCTGCATGCAGCTTACTTATGTGGTTAATCCTCACTTGAACCCCACACTTCTATAATAAAAAAAAATTTTAAATTGTTTCCATACTATCAAAATTATTTGTAAGAATATTTAAATAATAGGTAAAATATATCAACATATATGTGCCATGATTTAGTTTATCTATATACTCTCCTATTTTCTATATTTCAATTGTTTTCTCATTCGGCATAAATAGTAATGTAATGAAGATTTTTGTAGTTTTAAGTTTTTTTTATTATATTGAGTCACTATATTGAGTTAAAATTCCAGAAATATAACTAGTGTTTCAAAAATCCATGAAATTATCTGAGTTTTTAAACTTTTGCTTGTGTTTATTGACCACTAATGATGAGCAAAGCACTATATTTATGAATCAAGTAAGTATAATCAACCTAAATATGTATTTATCTAACAGAGAGCTTCAAAATATAGAGGAAAAAACTGATAGAAATTAAATAAAAAATAGATAAAGCCATAATTATAGTGAGAATATCTATATACTTATTTCTCATTAATCAGCAGGACAACTAGAGAGAAAAATCTATTAACATGTACAAACTTAAGCAACACTAAGAATAAACTAGCCCAGAATGAAATTAATAGAGGACACCATGCAACAAAAACCAGATACCTTTTTTCAAGTGCATATAAAATTAAGTCTTCACAGTGATAGAGAAACACAATAGGTTTTTGTACTTTAACCTGTATTCTGTGATCTTATTAAACTCACTTGTTAGTTCTAGTAAGTGTTTTTGTAAAATGTATAGGATTTTCTACATTGATAATCATGTTATGCACATATGTAGTCTTATTCTTCCTTTCTAATCACTATGCATTTTCTATCTTTTTAAAGTCTTTTCTAGGACTCTTGCATACTTTTGATTAGAATTGGGCCACAAATATACCCTACCTTGTTTATTCATTACAATGAATGCTAAAAAGTTGGAGACAAGCTAGCAGAGAGGTTGTACAGAGGTTGTAAAAATTTACATTCCTATGAAAAATGATTATGCCTCATTTCCTATACCTTTGTTAAAAATATGTATTGCCAATCCTTGGATATTTGCCAGTTTGGCAGGTAAAAAATATTATCTGCCTGAAGTTTTAATTTACTTATCTCACCTCCTCTTCATGTTTAAAAGTTATTGTATTTTAAAAATTTGCTCTAACCTGCTTCTGCAAAGCAAAAGAAACCATCAAGAGAGCAAGGAAACAGCCCACAGAATGGGAAAAAATATGTCAACTGTATATCTGACAAAGGCCTAAATCTATAGAGTTTCAGAACTCAAATGCGCCAAAAGGAAAAAAACCAAACAGCCCCTTTAAAAAGTGGGCAAAAGACATGAATAGACACTTATCAAAAGAAGATATACGGGCAGCCAACAGACACATGAAAAAGTGCTCAGCCTCACTCATCATCAGAGAAATGCAAATCAAAACCACATTAAGATACCACCTAACACTGTAAGAATGGCCATTATTTAAGAAAACAAACAACGACAGATGCTGGCAAGGATGTGGAGAAAAAGGAACACTTCTACACTGCTGGTGGGAATGCAGACTAGTGCCACCTCTTTGGAAGACAGTGTGGCGATTTCTGAAAGAACTAGAAATTGACCTTCCATATGACCCAGCAATTCCCCTATTGGGAATATACCCAGAGGAACTAAAATCATTCTATGACAGAGATACCTGCACACGTATGTTGC